CCTCCTTCTATCCCCCCCTCCCTCCTTCTATCCTTCCCTTCTGTCCCTTCTTCCATCTGTCCCTTCCTCCCTCCTTCTATCTCTCCTTCCACCCTTCCATCCTTCCCTCCATCCTTTCATTCTTCCCTTCCTCCTTCTATCCCTCCATCCTTCTATCCTTCCCTCCTGTCCCTCCTTCCATCTGTCCATCCCTTCCTCCCTCTTTATCTCTCCCTCCACCCTTCCATGCCCATGCCTCCCTTGACCCTTCCATCCCTCCCTCCTTCCATCCCTCCCCATCTCTCCATTCCACCCTCCTCCTCTCCATCCCTCTGTCCCACCATCCGTCCGTCCCTCCTTCTGCCTTTCCCCCCTCCATCTTTCCAATCCTTCCTCCCCAGCCCTTCCCCTTGACACCCAGCTCCCCCACCCTCCTTCTCCCTCCCCCTGCCCCTCCACACACGTCCTGGCTTCACCGCTGCACGTGTCTTTTCTCCATCCATCTCCATCCGTGTCCATCCATCTCTCCATCCCTCCCTTTCCCTCCCTCCACCCCGCTGTCCCCTGCCTGGTGGCTCCGGCTGTGGAAGGAGGAACAAGAGGGCTTTCTCCTTCGCAGCTGTTTCCCCGCCAGCAGCGGCTGCAGCTGGGATGGCCCCCGAGCTGCAGCTCTCTGGGGGATGGAGAAGCCCGAGGTCTTTGTTTTCTCCTTGGCCAGATGGGGCCACGCGGGCTCAGGGCTCGGGGAGGGGGGCGACGTGGTGGTGGGACCGACGGTGGAGGCATCTCTGCAGCTTCTGAGCACCCTGCGCCCCTCTCCCTGCAGGTGGGGACCAACGGGGTCATCTCCACCCAGGATTTCCCCAGGGAGACCCAGTACGTGGATGACGATTTCCCCACAGACTTCCCCGTCGTCGCTCCCTTCCTGGCCGACCTGGACACCTCGGGTGACAGAGGGAACATCTACTACCGGCAAGATGACTCTCCGGCCGTGCTGGGCCAGGCTGCAGGGTACATCCAGGCTGGCTTCCCCCGCACCGCCGGGGCCTTCATGCCCACCAATGCCTTCATTGCCACCTGGGAGGACGTGGGCGCCTACCAGGAGCTCTCGCAGGATGCCGAGCCCTCCAAGAAGGTGAGAGGCCGATGGGCTGAGGTTGGACGCCCATCCTACGTGTCGTGAGAGGATGAGTCTTCCTTGTGTAGCACCCAAAACGCTCGGTCTCTGCTTTCTGGGCAGCTGGATGGTGGGTCCAGCCTTGGATGAGCACTGGGGGAGACATGGAGCTTCTCCTCCTCTCTGCTTGGAGCTGCGGCCGTGGTGGGTCTGGAGGCTTTGCTGATGAGCAGAAGTTTAGAGGTTGCCTTCAACTCCATGGTTGGAGGCGCTCAGGCTTTTCCCTGCTTTTCAGGCAGAGCTTTATGGTGCCAGAGGCTCTGGATTTGCAGGACTGGGGTGGCCAGAGGGAGCTGCGGCCCAGGTCGCCCATTGGGCTCCAGACCTTCTGCTGGTGGCTTGAGGCTGGTCCTTCCTTCTGCCCGCACGTTGATTAATACCACCGGCGAGGAACCAGCTTCAGAATTTCCACCGTGGGTTGATTTTGTGTCTGGAAAACAAGCTCACAGGTGGTCCACAGGGTCAGGGAGGTGACCTGTGCTCTCCACCCACGGGCTGATAAGGCTCTTGCGTGGGTGGACCTTTCCCCGAAAACGCTGGATGGGCTGCTGGGGCAGGAGCTGTCACGTTAGGCTGATGACGTGCCGAGGAGATGACGGTGACGCTCCGCTGGCAGGACAGCCTTCTTGAAACGAGCTGAGCGTGATGAGCTGCGAGGAGAAAATGCTGGTGATGAAAACCCAAAGCTCTGCTATGGGTGACGGGATGTCACCGCGGTGGGGTGGGCTGAACCCCAAGCCCATCACCGGGTCCCCACGGGCCACCAGGTCCCCATGGGCCACCAGGAGCTGTCCCCCCACTCCGGGGCCCTTCAGTCGTTGGGTTGCTGAGAGAGAAGCCAAGCAGGAGAAGAAATTGAGGTTTGGAAGGAAACGGAGCACATTTTTTCCTCTAATTTAAAACTTGGGAAAGCAGCTGAAGAGATGCCATCAGGGGCCTCGCAGCGACCTCGCCGCCATCAAGAACGCAGCCTCCTCTTCTCATCTCTTCCCAATTGGGTTGTTTTTTTGGTTTGGTTTTTTTTTTTTTTTTTTATTTTCCTCTCCGAGAAGTTGGACCAGGTTTTAAAATGAAACCGGTCTCGCTTGGAAACGGGCAGCTCCAGGGAAGGCTTGGTCCAAGAGGCACCGAACTGCAGCTTCTGCTTTGCTGAAACTCCCCCCCCAATCAGCCAAAACTGCTGAAAAATGTCCCCAAACACCACTTTTTTTTTTTTTTCCTTACAAAATATGCTATTTGTTGCACTGCTGCCCTCCCGCTGCTCGGAAGCGGGAGTGACCTCGCAGCCTTTACCCCCTGCGACTTGGGGAAGTCACAGCTCATCCTTTTTGAGCCTCGAAAGCAGAAACAAGGGCTAAGATGGGGGGGGCGGGGGGGGGGGGGTGGGTTATAGCATGCCCCCCTGCCTTGCGGGTCCTGCCTGACCGAGAGGTCCCCCCTGTCCCCTCCAGCTCCTTGGGGACACTCTCCGAGTCCCTGCAGTGACATTTTTCCAGGGCGAGAGCTGACCCCGCTTCTGCCAAGAGCAAAAAAATGCCCTTTGGGTTGGAATTTGCCCCTTTGCAGGGAGCAAAAGGGGAAAGAGGGGGGGGGTGACTCCCCCCCGACCCCCCCTCTTGCTCCCTGCCCTGCGATGCCAGCACAGCACTGTCACCCACCGGGTCCCCCCTCGCCGCCCACCGCGAGGCAAAATGAGTCCTGCAGCTGCTGCCGTGATTTGGTTGCGTGGGGGAGGAATCCAGCCCTTGGCGGGGGGGGTGTGTGTGGGGGGGGAGTGGGTGTTATCCCCCCCCGCCTCGAGATTTTTGGCTGCCTTTTCATGGGGTCTCTGAATGGCCGAGCGTGTGACACGCACACAACAAGGCTCTTTATGTCCCCGCCGGGAAACCCTGCGATGCCCCCAGGGGCCCCTGCGCCCCCAAAAGTGGGGCTGGCGCTGGGGGGACAGGCAGGGCTGGGCTGGGGGGTGGCGTGGGGTGGAGCCCCCCGCCCTTCCTGCCCACCGTTCTGGGGGTGAAACTGGGAATTTCATCATTTTTCCCTTCATTCGGGAAGAGCCGCTTTATTTTATTATAAATTATATATATATATTATATATTATATATTTTATTTATTATTTTTATATTTATCTGGGGAGGAGGGGGAGACCCAAACGCTCTATGTGTTGGTTTCTCCTCATTCAGGGTGACCGGGATGCGTGTGTGTGTGGATTCTCTGGTGGCTCATAAAAGGGTTGTGCTCACCCCGCAGCCCGCCCATCGCTGCGGTCCTGGTCCCCCAGCACGGCCCCAAGGCTGGCAGGCTGTGCCTATAGGGGGACCTATAGGGTGTGGGGAAGGCAGGAGCACACGCATGTTTTTTCCGGAGGAAACCAGGCTAAAATTGTTCTCGGGGTGAGGGGGGAGGGGATGGGAGGGGGCAGGTTTTCCTCCGGCGCTGGTGGGATGGAGGTGGGGGGGGGCTGCTGGTGTTGTGGGCAGGATGGGAGGAGGGGGAATGGAGTGAGGGGCTCCTGGTACAGGGGTTACCCGGCCAGGGATGCTCCTGGGCATGGCACAGGGCTGTCACTGCCCTGGGTGACACCTCTGAGGGACACCCCGACGTAGCTGAGAAGGGGGTGGCCTGGTTGTGTTCTGGGGTCCCATGGAGGATGCTGAGCATCGTCCCATGTCATGGTGGGGTTTGGCCATGCTCAAGCAGCTTCTGGTCGTCCCCAGGAGGTGTCTGCAGGGTGATGGAGGGCTTTTTTGGGGTACTTACGTGCCCTGCTGTGTGCGGGGAGGTGGCTGTCACCTCCCCAGTCCTCTACTGGGGTTCTGTCCCCCATGTGATGTCCATCTGTCGCCCTCTCCCCTCGGCAGCTCAACACCTTCCAGGCGGTCATAGCCTACGATGATGAGGACACCTACGCCATCTTCCTCTACCCCGACGGTGGCCTCCAGTTCTTGGGGACGCGACCCAAGGAGTCCTACAACGTCCAGCTGGAGCTGCCGGCCAGGGTGGGCTTCAGCTGGGGGGACGGCGACGACCCAAAGAGGGACGGGCTCTTCCACAGCCTGGCCAGCAGCGAGCAGGCTCTGAGACAACTGGAGAGGTGAGTGGTGCTGGGGGGAGATCATGTGGGGCAGGCGAGGGGAGCAGGGTCACCTTCTCCCAGCCCTTGGGTCCTCTTAAAGGCTGGAAGAAGGAGGGGAGCATCGAGGTTGGGGGGCTCAACCCCATGTGCCCAGGAGTTTTTTGGGATTTGTGGGTTCATGGTTCGGGTTCTGGAAGGAGGACACCTTTTGGGATGGGTTTTCCACCAGGGCTGTGATGGACCTGTTCATGTGCTGCTGTCTTCCAGGGAGAGCAACGTGGGGGTACCCGGCGTGTGGGTCTTCCACGTGGGCAGCGCGGAGCACGTGGAGCCGGGGGTACCCCCAGTCCCCAGTGTCCCCCAGAGCCCCCCACATCGTGGACCTGGCACCGCTGACTATACCCACCACGTGTCCACGCAGCTGCCGGCCCACCGCGGCTCGGAGGCCACCTCCTCGCGTCCCCACCAGCGGGGGATTGTCCCCCAGGGGCTGCCACCCTCCCCGGGGCAGGAGCGGAGCCGCCGGCTGTACCCCGATGGGGACGGGGGAGCCTGGCAGAGCTATTCTGCCAACCCCTCTTCCTACAGCTCCGGCCACCACGGCGTCGGCGTGGAGGAAGACGTGCATTTTAACCCCGATGGTGAGTGATGGGGGGACATCTCCTGTTGGGTGGGTGACTTGCTGGAGAGGACCTCAAAGGAGAAAGACCTAGGAGTCCTGGTGGAAAACAGGATGACCATGAGCCAGTAATGTGCCCTTGTGGCCAGAGTGTGAGCAGCAGGTGGAGGGAGGTCATCCTGCCCCTCTGCTCTGCCCTGGGGAGGCCCCATCTGGAGCACTGGGACCAGTTCTGGGCTCCCCAGTTCCAGAAGGACAGGGAACTGCTGGAGAGGGGACAGCAGAGGGCTACAGAGATGATGAGGGGCCTGGAGCATCTCTCTTAGGAGAAAAGGCTGAGGGACTTGGATCCTTTTAGTCTGGAGAAGAGAAGACTGAGGGGGGATCTGATCAACGCCTATAAATACTGAAAGGATGGGTGTCAGGAGGATGGGGCCAGTCTGTTTTCAGTGGTGCCCAGGGACAGGACAAGAGGAAATGGGCACAAACTTGAATGTTAGAAGTTCTACCTAAACATGAGAAGCAACTTCTTTCCTGTGAGGGTTGCAGAGCCCTGGCAGAGGCTGCCCAGGGAGGTGGTGGAGTCTCCTTCTCTGGAGACATTCAAACCCACCTGGACACATTCCTGTGGGACCTGCTCTGGGTGGACCTGCTCTGGCAGGGGGTTGGACTGGGTGATCTCCAGAGGTCCCTTCCAACCCTATGTGATTCTGTGATTCCTGGCGTGGGGCCAGGGCTGGGGAACCACCGTGGCACGTGTCTGGGGTGGGACAAATCCCCATCCCCGACTGGCTGCGTCCCAAAAATAGGCAGGAATCTGACCTCTGGCCCTCTGCCAGCTCTGCCTGAAATCAGGCGACAGGTTTGAAGCCCTCAAGATCTCGGGTGGCTTTCTCTGCCGCCGGCTGTCCCTTCTCCTGAGGGTGTTTTTTGGGACTGGGGTGGTTGGTGGTTGTCACCTTGTCCCCAACCCTTTCCCCTTGGTCCCAGTGTTCACCTACAGCGCGGCCAGCAAGGAGACGTGTGCCCAGCACCATGGGACATGTTCTCCCCATGCCTTCTGCACCGACTACGCCACCGGCTTCTGCTGCCACTGCCGGGCCACCTACTACGGCAACGGGCGGCAGTGCCTGCCCGAAGGTACGTGGGGTGGGCGGCGGGGACGGGCACCCCGTGCCAGGGTGGCCGCTGCCAGGGGTGCCCGTCTCCTTGCCCAGGGGCCGTGCATCGCCTCAACGGGAAGGTGAGCGGGAGCCTGACGGTGGGACGGGCGTCCGTCCGCTTCCAGGAGGTGGACCTGCACGCCTACATTGTGGGCAGCGACGGCAGAGCCTACACGGCCATCAGCGGGGTGCCCCAACCCGCCACCCGGGCACTCCTGCCCCTCCTGCCCATCGGAGGGCTCTTTGCCTGGCTCTTCGCCCTGGAGGAGCCCGGCTCTGAGAACGGCTTCAGCATCACGGGTGAGTGGGGACACGGGACAGGAGAGGACGAGGGAGAAGGGTTTTGAACCAGAGATTGAGATGAGATGTTGGGAAGAACTTCTTTGGTGTGAGGGTGGTGAGAGCCTGGCCCAGGTTGCCCAGAGAAGCTGTGGCTGCCCCATCCCTGGAGGGGTTCAAGGCCAGGTTGGAGAGGGCTTGGAGCAACCTGGGCTGGGGGGAGGTGTCCCTGTGGAACTGGATGATCTTTAGGATCCCTTCCAACCCAAACCATTCCACAATTCTATGTGCCACCATGTCTCATTGCTCTGAGAGTCACAGCTACTGGTGGGGTGGCCTGGTGCAGACATGGGGTGATGTGTGGCCCCCACAGGAACTGATGGGGGTTCAGGTCAGCCCCACGGCTCCTCCAGTCACCTCCCTCACAGCTGTGCCGCAGGAGCCAGGAAGGATGCTTCAGGGATGTATCCCTAAAATTCCTACAACCGCTTGTTCCATTTTCCAGGCGCCGAATTCACCCAGAGCCTGGAGGTGACCTTCTACCCTGGGGAGGAGAAGGTCCACATCACTCAGACGGCCGAGGGCCTGGGGCCGGACAACTACTTAAGCCTGAAGACCCACATCCAGGGCGAGGTGCCGTTTCTCCCAGAGAACGTCACCGTCCACATCGGTCCCTACAAGGAGCTCTACCACTACTCCAGCTCAGGTAGGACCCCCACGCTCAGTTTCCTGCACCCCATCCTTGCGTGCCCCACTCAGAGCTTCCCAAAACCACCCCGAACCCCACCACGATTCCCACCATCTGAGGGACATCGATGCTGAAGGAGCTTTTCCCCCATCCCATGGGTTTTTTTTTTTATCCTCACCATCTGGCAGCCGTGATGTCCTCTGCTCACCGGGAGTACGTCCTGGCCGCCGGGACGGCCAACCAGACCTTGTCCTACCGCCTGCACCAGAACATCTCCTTCACCGGTTGCCCGCACGCCCGCCCACCCGCCCGGCAGCAGCTCAGCGTGGCACGAGCCTTCGCCCTCTACGATGGCCAGGAGCACGTCCTGCGCTACGCCCTGGCCGCCCGTGTTGGCTCAGCATCAGGTGAGCTCCATCCCCCTCCATCCTGCCCCCAGAAAAAGCCAGAAGAGAGGGTTTTGGGTTGGTTTTTTTTGGTTTTCCAAGTAGCTTGAGCAAAAGTGCTCCCAGAATGAAGATGGCCCTGCTCATGGCAGGGGGGTTGGACAAGATGGACTGTAAAGGTCCCTTCCCACCCAAACTGTCCTGATCCTTCATGAATCTGGTGAAGGGCCTGGAGAACAGATTGTTTGAAGAGCGATTGAGGGAGCTGGGGCTGTTTAGATTGAGGAAGAGGAGACTGAGGGGAGACCTCATCACTTGAAAGGACGTTGTAGAGAGGTTGGTGCTGGTCTCTTCTCACAGGTCATTAGTGATAGAACAAGAGGGAATGGCTTCCAGCTGCACCAGGGTAGGTTTAGAGTGGACATTAAGAAAGAATTTTTCACAGAAAGAGTGGTCAGACACTGGAATAGACTGCCCAGGGAGGTGGTTGAGTCACCATCCTTGGATGAGTTTAAGAGTTGTTTAGATGTGGTGTTGGGGGACATGGTGTAGGGGAGAACTTTGTAGAGTAGGGTTGATGGTTGGACTCAATGATCCTGAGGGTCTTTTCCAACCTGAGTGATTCTATGATTCTTTAAGTGGGAACAGTCATTCCCTGCTCCCTGGGTCTCCCGGGCCTTCTACCCGCCCTAACACCCCCACTTTGCCCACAGATGATGTCCAGAACCCCTTGGTGAACCCGTGTCACGACGGCACGCACGCATGCGAGGCGCCGGCGCGCTGCCAGCCCGGTGTGGGGACGGAGTACACCTGCGAGTGCGCCGCCGGCTACCGCCCCGACGGCCGGGGCTGCCGAGGTGAGCGGGGGCTGCGGGCAGGTATTTGGGGGGTGGTGGTGGTGGATCCCCATCCCTCGTGTGGCACCCTGATGGCCACAGCCCTTTGGGGTGCTGGGATGTGCCACGGCGTCCACGGTCTCAAGAGTGAATTACGGGGTGGGGGGAAACTGAGGCAGGGGGTGGGGAAGAGGAGAGGTGGGATGGGCAGCTCGGGGCAGGATGTCCCCAAAACGGGGAGTAGTCGGACCCTGAAACTGGGGGTGTCCCAGCACCTCTTGGTGGGGGGGTCTGGTGTCTCCCCTGGTAGACGTGGACGAGTGCACGGAGGGTCTGAGCCGGTGCAGCCCCTTCACCCTCTGCCTCAACGTGCCGGGCAGCTACCGGTGCGAGTGCCGCAGCGGCTACCGGCCGGCGCAGGACGGGCAAGCGTGTGTGCGTAAGTGACAACCCCGGGATTCGGGGTGTCCCCCCACTCCAATCCCACCCCACGGGGCTCACCCCGGCCCCCCCCCTCACCCGTCCTGTCCCCCCGCAGCGCTGGCACCGCCGCCTGACCCCTGCGAGGACGGGAGGAACCCCTGCGCGCCGAGGGACCGGGCACGCTGCCTGCCCCGCGCCGGGGGACACCCTGCCTGCCAGTGTCTGCCCGGGTACAGCGGAGATGGCATCCACTGCGCCGGTACGGGGACACGGGAGGGACTGCGGGGTGGCACCGTGCTGGGGTGACACCGTGCCAGGATGGCACCCTGCTGGGGTGGAACCGTGTCGGGGTAGCACTGTGCCGGGATAGCACCCTGCTGGGGTGACACCGTGTTGGGGTGACACCGTGCCAGGGTAGCACCATGCTGGGGTACCACTGTGCCAGGATGGCACTGTGTTGGGGTGCCACTGTGTTGGGGTGCCACCATGCCAGGGTGCCACCAGGCTGGTGGGTACCATGCCAGGGGGCCATCTTGCTGGGGTACCACTGTGCCAGGGTGCCACTGTGGCGGGATGGCACCATGCTGGGGTGACATCATGTTGGGGTCACACTGTGCTGGGGTGGCACCACCATGTGGGGGTGGCACCATGCTGGGGTGCCACCATGCCAGGATGCCACTGTGCTAGGGTGCCACCATGCCAGAGTGACACTGTGCTGAGTAGTAGCGTGCCAGGGTGCCACCATGCCAGGGTGCCACCATGCTGGAGTGACACCGTGCTGGGGTGGCACCATGATGGGGTGCCACCATGCCAGGATGCCACCGTCCCAGGATGGCACCATGCAGGGTAGTACCATGCCAGAGTGACACTGTGCTGGGGTGGCAACGTGCCAGGGTGCCACCATGCCAGGATGCCACTATGCTAGGATGTCACGGTGCTAGGGTACCACTGTGCCAGGGTGCCACCATGCCGGGATGGCACCGTGCTGGGGTGCCCTTCCTGGCTGATCCCCACCTTCTCCCCGTGCACAGACGTGGATGAGTGTGCCGAAAACCCGTGCCACCCGGCTGCCACCTGCTACAACACTCCAGGCTCCTTCTCCTGCCGGTGCCAGCCAGGCTACGAGGGCGATGGCTTCCAATGCACGCACGGTAAGGATGCCCAGCTCACCACCGTGCCAGCTCTGCCCAGGGTGGCTTCCACCAGCCTCACTCTGCCCTTTTTTGTTTTAGCGGAAGGGGGCACGCAGCGGCTGACCCCCTGCCAGCACCAGCAGCTGTACCCCCGGGAGGTGCCACCGGGACCCTCGCCGGTGGGCGACGGGCATGTGCCGCAGTGCGACGAGGAGGGTCAGTACCGGCCCCTGCAGTGCCACGGCAGCAGTGGGCACTGCTGGTGCGTGGACGCGGCGGGGCAGGAGATCGCCGGCACACGGACGGCACCGGGCAGCACCCCACCACGCTGCGGGAACCCAGGTCAGTGCCACCCCCCCAAAGGGGACAAAGAGAGGTGGGATGGGTCCTTGGGTGGCATCCGGTGGGATTGGTGGGCACCGGAGATGCCCTGGGGTTGTGGTGGGTGGTGGAGGGTGTTGAGAAGGTCCTGGAGAAGGCAGAGCCCTGCCTGTCCCTGCCCAGCCCCAGCCACCAGCAGAGCGGGGTCGGGGTGATGGGGGTTGTGCCCAGTGGAGGGGACCCTCTGCCCAAGCTGGGGGCTTCTCTGCCATGGCCTGGGTGCCAAATGGGTGGTTGGGCACCTTAGGGGGCTCCTGGGTTTTTAGGGTGCCCACAGGGGTTGTAGTAGCAATGCCCATCGGGGCACTTCCTGTGTCACCTTGGGATGGAGGGGACAGCCATGGGGTGCCAAGGGGGGGCTGGAGAAGGGCTGCCCCCACCCCCTGCCCCAATGGGGGAGGTCAAGCGGTGCCAGCAGAGCATCACCCACCACCCGCACTCCAACTGGGGTGGCCAAGTGGGTCCGGGGGACCTGTGTGGCACCCCTTGAACCTGGGGTGGTGGCGTTTGGTGCCGGCAGAAGCCATCCAGCAGCTGACCCCCTGCGAACACGAGCGGCTGTACCCCCGGGCGGTGCCACCGGGACCCTCGCCGGTGGGCGATGGGCACGTGCCCCAGTGCGACGAGGAGGGTCGGTACCGGCCCCTGCAGTGCCACGGCAGCAGTGGGCACTGCTGGTGCGTGGATGCGGCGGGGCAGGAGATCGCTGGCACACGGACGGCACCGGGCAGCACCCCGCCACGCTGCGGGAACCCAGGTCAGTGCCACCCCCCCCAAAAAAGGGGACAAAACAGCAGGGGGTGGGTGCCATCCCCTCCCCGCTGCGCCCCAACCCCGTGGTGCCCCTCCAGCATCCTCAGCACGGAGGGGCACCCAGCGAGGAGGGGGGACCCGGCAAAGCCCTGAGTCCCCCCCAAACTTGGCTGGGGGGTGAGGGGGGGTGTGTGACTGTCACCCTCCCCACGGTGTGTGTGACTGTCACCCTCCCCACGCCAGCACCCACGGAGCGTCCCCAGAGCATGTGCGAGCGCTGGCGGCAGAGTTTGCTGGAGCACTACGGGGGCAGCCCCCGCCACGACCAGTACGTGCCGCAGTGCCAACCCGGGGGGGAGTTCACCCCCCTGCAGTGCCACGGGGACAGCGGGTACTGCTGGTGCGTGGACGAGAGCGGCAGGGAGATCCAGGGCACCCGCTCGGAGCCTGGCACCACCCCACCGTGTAAGAGCTTGGCACCCCGAGCGTGACACTCAACCCCCCCCCCCTTGCCACCTCCAATCTGTCCCAGCACAGAGGGACTCCTGGGGGGGATGCTCCCT